ATGCTGTTAGTACAGAATTAGGCATTCCCTGTGAGAATGAAAGCTTCTATAAGGAAATGAAGCATTGGGCATTTGTTACTAATATTATTTTACTTGCTTATCATTATACTATTCTAAATGGGACAGGGGAAGCTTTTATAGCCTAATATTTTAGAGTTCCAACTTTAAAATTCATCTGGGATGTTGGAAGGTCCACTTAAGACCCTACCCTTGGATTATTTTGTCACTTTTTGATGTGAGATCATTTAACATCTTGTTAGATATATTTGTAGGCATAGACAGTTAACGAATTTGGGGAATTCCTTAGAATAATTTTGAGGACTTAAAAAATTAATCTTTAGCCTCAAAGTCACATTTTTTAGCTAAGTCAACAATTAAAAGCTTTCCTAGGTACTTAATAATACTATATAGTGACAACTTTTAACTTGTTCTTGAGGGAGCTTTTTCTCTGGGATCTCTCCTTATTGTAATAGGACCCTAATGAATATAACACACTGGTGAACAGGGAGAACTCTAACTGAACTTGATGTTAATTAGCATTGACTTAAACTGGCAATCTTTTCAGATTAGTAGCAAATACAGTGCTTTAGGATTCTGTAGAATGTAGGTCATCTTGCTTACTGTTCCATACCATGAACTTGAAAAAGACATATCTGAACTGGGCATTTTTTAAGAGCTCAAATGTTCAGGCAAAAACCAAAGAACAAAAGCAAGCCTGATACTTTAGATAACTTTACTGTGAACTAAACAATCTCAAAATTTGATTGTGTCTTCATCAGCTTTTATACTGTGTGTAAGAATATATGCATTTCTTTTGTAGCCACGCCATGAATATTTTAATGTCCCTGTGTACTAAATGACTGCTCATCGACTATGCAGAATTTCACAGAGGAAATAGAGAACTGATATACTTATGAAAGAAAATGTCCTCAGCTTGGTGACTAATACTCCTGTAAAAAGATAAAAAGCATCTTAGACCCAGAACCTTTATGATTGTATTTTTTTCTGTACACATTCCTATTTCTATTTTCATTCTGTATATAATATTGATATCGTTTATTTCTGTCTACTACTGTTTCTTCTTGAGAAAATATGATGTGAATATTTTGATTAATATCCTAAACACATACAAGTTATCATTAGTAAACCATCCGTGATTAATCTTATGAGAGTCTAACAGAAAGGCTGGGCAATCACAAATGTTTACCAAAGAAAATACAGTTAAGAACTCAGGCATAATTAGCAGCACCACAGTATTTAGTTCATTGTTGAAGAAAACCAAGCTTTATTTCACACTAAGATTATCTTACTGTCTGTATGAGCTAATAAGTTCAATTGTATCACATGAAAGTGTATGTTGAAGCAATATAAGAAAATTCAATTACAATTATATAAGACCTAAGGTTAAAACATTGAATTTTCAAGAAATTTTGTAGTGCCAATATTTATTGAGCCACATTTATACAGTGTCAAAAGTCCTTTTAAAACTATCAGAAAGCTATGTCATAAAGTCTCCTGTAATGTCTTGCTTAATAACACTCTTTTGAAGCAGTAATACTGAGGCCACTTATATGATATGAAAATTCTGATATTCATTTTCAGTATCCAAGCATTTATATTTTATTAGTTAATGGTTTCCTAATTAATATATTAAGCCTTCTAAGCACTCAGTGCTGTATTAACTATGGTCTTATGTTTTGAACTAAAAACATTTCACATTAATTTTACATAAATATGCTTTTAATGACACTTAGCATATTTTATTATAAAAAGTACCAGATAACTCTTTGTTTATATCTAGAGAGTTTAAAGCCTAAGTAAATTGTCCTTAATAACTTCAGAGACATGGTAGTGCATGCCTGTAGTCCTAGCACTAGGAGGCTGAGGCAGGAGAAAGATGAGTTACTACGCTACCTAGGGAGTCTTTGTCTCAAAAGACAAAAATTAATTATACCAAAAAATACCCAAACCAGTTTCCCACTGAAAGATCTGTGAAAATGTTTTAGGAAATGTAGTATTAGGTAGCTGATTAGGCAGTTGATCTATACAAGATCAACTATCTCCATTACCATACGAAGTGTCACAAAACATTGGTCTTTCATTTCCATTTTTTCCCATCCTCCCACCCTACATGTTGTTCATCTGATTTTAATGTTGCATAAATATGCACTGTCTCATGCCTGTTTTGTTTTGGATGCTGTGTGCTGAGCTGTAACAAAATGTTGCGCTTTTTGGGGGGTGGGGGTGGGGGTGGGGTTATCTGTCTACAGCTGCTTGCTTTAAATTAGCAGATTCTGAAATAGCTTTTCTTGCATGTCTAAAATAAAGTATTGCATGTACTTTGTCTCATGTGAATGACTTTTTTCTACTCCATCCTTTTAAATAAAATAACATTTTATATTTTCATGTTTCCAGGTAATTTCTTTAATTGTGATTTTTAAAAAGTAACATAGAATTTACCATTTTAATCATTTCTGAGCCTACAGTAGTGCTAAGTATATTCATATTGTACAACACATCTCCAGAACGTTTTCATCTTGCAGAACTGAAATTACATAACTCATCAGCCAACCACTTCCCATTTCTCTCTCACTGAAGTAAGGCCCTGGTAACAACCATTCTATTTTAATCATTTCCCTAAATAATTTTGAGCTACAATTTCAGTGTGTACTTGTAAAAATTACATTTTGTTTTATAAACAGTTTATACAAATACTCAATTTATCCAGTCTTAAAGGAATAAAATAAAATGTGTAAATTAGGCCTTTTAGAGAGGACATATATTTTAAATAATACCTATTCAGAAAGCAACATGATTCTCTTCAGACCACAGGCAATGAGCACCCTGGAGAAATCTGATCATCTAGGGGATAGGTATGGGCCATTTTTATCTAGACTTGAGAATATAAGCTGGCCAGAATGCAGTGTAGGGATCCTCTAACATAGTAACATATTAAAGGTTGCATAAAGTTTTAAAATGACTCAATATTAAATGGAAATAACCTTTAAACTCACATGTACTTTGCTTCATGGGAAGGACTTTTTTCTACTCCATTCATTCTGATAACATTTTATATTTTCATTTTTTCCAGGTAAGATTTAAAATTGTGATTTTTAAAAAATAACATTGAATTCACCATTTTAACCATTTCTCAGCCTATAGTTTAAGTAACTCAGTTGTCACTCTCTGTGTAGTACTTAATGGTTAAAGAAAGGCAAACATTTTTAAGCAGAAGAGATTGGCATCTATCACTATTGTTAGACTGCCTTTAAAAACTATCATGAAAACATCTAGACAAACAGAATCCCATACAGAGCATTCATTCATACATCATTGAACATCAACAGTTACCAACTTCATATCCACTGTGTCCTAGACAAGCTGTCATTTCATCTGTAATGTTTCAGTATGTATTCCTAACAGATCATTGCCACAGCAAACAAAATGGAACAGTAATTAATTTTGTTTTGTGCCTGGCTCAGCTTTTCCTAATTATTGAAGGGAAATAAATTCCTTATTATAATTTGTTAAATTAGATTCCAAAGAAATTTTATATTGGATGGTTCATAGGCATTTAGTCTCTCATTTGTTAGCAATCCTGTTGTTTTTGTTTTTGTTTTTCCACTCTTTGCCATTAAAAACCAAAACTGGACCTTTTGATGCCATATAGTTTTCCACATTCCTATTTATTCTTATGGCAATGTTTACCTTTTTCTTTTCTCCTCCATCTTAGATCTGTAACCTGATTAGATTGAAGTATCAAGGAGCAGGGGACAAGTGTACTTCATAGATTATACTACCTTTTGGAAAAATGTCCTTTTTTCACTAAAGTTGATTTTCACTCATTTTTCATTACTAGACAAACATACTAACAGACATTCTATGAACTTTTTTGGCTACAGTATTTAGTATTAAATGCTAAATCCCTTCATTTAGATTTTAGTTGTGTGACTATCAGCTAATATTTTTTGAAATGCTTTCTTTAAATCAGGCATTGAGCCTTAAACTCAATCTCGGCACATAAAGGTAAGTACTACTATTTTTGTTTCCCAAATATGGAAACAACAGGTTTTAAGTCATTTAAGAGTACACAATATAGTGGATTTCCTACCATTCAACCTAACATTCTAAGGATTCCTGATGTAATATAATTTTTCTTTTCCTTGTTTTGTGCTGTCTCATGATTAGGATGCAAAAGTAAGTTTATTATGAGATAACAAAACCTTACATTGTTTTCATATATTAAAGTAACAATGTTGCTTTCCAATTACAAAGTTGCTAGTAATAGCTGACCTATATGGTCTTTTTTTATTCTTTATTTTATGTGCACTATTTTTGTAGTGCACAAAATTGGCCGGTTTTGAATATTTTAAAATACCTTTTTTAGATTTGGCAGATTTGGCTTTGACATTTAAAAACAAATATTCATTCTTACATTAAGACAAAAAAAGCCTTTTGTTCCATAGTGTTTCTTCTGTATGTGAAGAATGAGTGCCAATGGTTGCCTAAGGAAGGTCTGGGATGATGGCTGTTTCTAAAGCATTGCAGTGGACAGTTAAGGAAAAACTACACAAGACATTTTCTCTAGATAAGTTGCGACAAGACAAAACATTGAAAGTGTTAGATGACACATTAGAACTTATGGGGAAGGTGTTTTTATTTGGAAGACATTTTGAATTTCAATGTTTTAGATAATATTTTCTGTATATAATTTCATACATTGCTAGTCAGTTTACAATGGGCTTGATTGCTTTTTGTTATAGCAATGGTGCCCGGCACATTGGTCAGTATTAGGTATTCAGTAAAAGCTGAAAACATTCTTTCTGTGTTTTAAGCACAAATCTTTGAAAACCATTGGCTATCACTAGTAGGTTGCTTCTGTTACACGGAATTGTCTTTTTTATTCTTTAAAATGAGCATGCCCCTTCTGTGAGCTTTTCATATTCTTAAGTATCTCTCCCTGTATCTGCTTACCAGAGTCTCACATTTTTCCTCCACAGGAAGCTGAAACCCCACGTAGTGTTCTTGAAGAAATTGGACTGACATAACTGTCCTCCCTTGCTGATGACTTCTTGTGGCATTTCACACACTGTAGATGGTCACTGCCTCTCATGTCCATGTTAGCTAATGGTATAAGATGATGTCTTGTCAGTATTACTGTCTTGCTAAGCTGCTTCATTCAGGCCTACCCAATTTTTTTAAAGGGAACTTTGGTTAGTCAAATGATAAATTAAGGGACATAAATATGAATTAGAAAGATGTAGAAAAAGTAACATACCATTTCAGGACATTTTAATTATGTGCATATATCAAAATGATAGGTCTGTATTCATGTATATCCAACAATTTGGCAAAATACATTTACTATTGTACTTGAAAAAGGAAACTTAAATTATGTGAAACCTGGTTTGATGAAACCAAAGACTAGAGTAGTATTTCAGTATATATAAGAACAAAGGAAATTGACACATCACAGATCAAATGAAAGAAAGTTTATTGAAAATTGAAGCAACCAAATTGATACCAAAGACCCTAATTGGATTCAACATACATTAAAACAAAGGGAATAGATGCTTTTAGAGACCAAACTTACAATGATGCTACGTTTCACTAAAATTCATTAAGTATTCTGAATGGGTGGGACAAGGTCAAAGACTTTCCTAATCTCGAGCACATAATTTTTAAGGACAAGGAACATTTGACTCCTGAGGTGAAGTTTTAGTGGTCATAATCATATAGTTACCTAATAGTTTTCAAGGCCCCAAAACAAAATAGGACCGTTAATTACCAGTATGTTGCTCTGTTCACAAAGTGTTACATAAAGTCATTATCTAAAGCATGAATGTTCCTTCTGGGGTGCTTGTTAAAGCCAAATTTATTTTTGCTTCCCTGTTGCTTCCTTCCAATTAGAAGTGCTACAAACTTGACAGCAGCTCCCTTTCCTTTCATGTCACTGCCTAGTCATCAGAAGTCTTGTGGAAATTTAAAAGATACCGTTCATATAGCAAAGCGAGAGTTGAGTGAAGTAAAATGGCATTAGTTGGCCCTATATTTTTTCAAACTATATAAATGCTCCGCACCACTTTTATACATACTGACACATACCTGAACACATCTCCCTGGTTTCTATTTTCCCTTGTATATGCTAGGCTGGAGTAAGCTTTGCTGTGATTGTGAACAACTTCCGAGCCACCTGAACACTGTCTTATCACATCACCAATTAATGGTAATAAATGTTCTACAAACACTGTGGTGTACTTTTATCTCTTTCCAAACGTTTTGTCAAATGAGGGAGAGCTGTTGAAGGAAGGGTTCTTTTTTTCAATACAGTGTGGACAAGCCCTCTCCTTCTGACAGTCGACCCCCTGCACTGGAATGTGATAGTGGTTGCAAGCACTCACAAAATTGACAAAAGAGTATGAATTTTCATGTACATCAAGCTCGTTAAAAAAAATCACATGAATTCTATGCTATCAAGAACTTACAACACATTTATTTTCCATTAATAAACACCACTTGATGTAGTTGCCTTTTATACGCTTTCTGATTTAGCAACTCAGATTACTCCAGATAATCAAATGATATACAAATGATGAATCCTCACCTCCTACATATGAGGAAGTGCTAGCACATGCAATAGACTAATTTGTTGACTGTGCTGCCTAATGTAAGCAACAAGTCAAAACTTGCAGTTACAGTAGTATGGTTATGGGGCCTTCTGCTACTACAAATAGAAATTGTTTCATTCAAAGCCTGAGATATTTATGAGGAAAGGATTGGATTTCCAGCAAATTAAGTTGAAATGGACATCTGTAGGTTTAAAGGGCTTTGGGGAATGCAGCTGTTCCCTAAAAGGCCTGTGGGCTCCTGTCAGTAATGTGGAGTTGAATCATGATTAGTTTATCACAGACATACCTGGACACCCATTTATCATAGTAAATGTAAGCTCAAAGTCACTATCAGGGTAATCACCCAGTCAGTGGTTTTCTAAACTTCCCCTACACTCCATACTGGCTAACAAACATTTGAGGGGAAAGTCATCACTTGATCAATTGTCTTGAGCCAAAAAAGACAGATTTCCTTTCCTTTCCCATCATGATCTAAGAATATTCAGCTTCAGGACTGGGGATGTACCCTTGCCTATCATGTTTGAAGCCCCAGCATCATACATACAAAACAATCTTTACATAATCTTGGCTGAAATTTGATCAGTATTTTAAAATACCAAATTTACTTAAAACTATTCAACATTAATGAACCCAGTGAATCTAGAAATCCATCATTTTTAGTATGAAGCAGGCATTTAGAATTGAAACAAGTTGCATTTTGTTAAACCTTTTCAACATTTTGTGCCTTTTTTCTTCTAAAATGAGGCAGGGTCTCACCCTAGCCCTGGCTAGCATCAGCCTCCCCAGTGCAAGGATTACTGGCGTAAGCTACAACACATGAATGTATGCATCTTTAATGAATGAATTCTCAAATGTCAGACTGCTAAATACCACATGACACTGAATTTTGAGGTCCAGAGCATGACAGTGAAAGTCTGAGCGGAAAGCATCTTGGGAAAGCTAGGGATAATATACATGATCCTGCAATCAGTTCTCTATGCCAATCACTCTTCTGTGATTATTATACCATTACTATTTTAGCAGTGCATGGAGTTAATAGTGACTCTTAATTTTCTGGGAAATGACAAAATGCCTCTATATAAAGAACTTTCACTATATACTATTCAAGCAAGATATGCACCACAACAGCCCCCAAGTGAAGGAGGAACTGTAAATATGGGGAAAGAGGAGTATGGAAAAGAGTACTTCAACTCATTGAAGCAGGAAATAAGTTTGAGAACAAAACAAAATCAACTTTTACATATAAAAATATATTTTGAAAGCAGAAAAAGAATGGCCATTAAGTAGAAAAAATAGTGGCAATAAAAGTAAGCACTTAAATACCTAAAACTTGCCAAACTGGTAAAGAGCAAGATAACTTTGTGCTGTGGGAGCTGGAAGGTGACCTTTTTTGTAGTCTTCCTAGAAGGCAATTTGGATTGCTTTCTTGACAGTTTATTCTAAGAAATTGATCAAAAATGTGTAGACATCATTAAGGAAATCTAAGAGGGTCATCAAATAAGCACAGATGTATTAATGTAGTGAGTAAAAAATAAGAATTATGGGACAAAAGCATCAGGATTGATGAAATGAGACATTTGAGTGAAAGACATTAAAGCCACATGTGACTTTTGAGTTAAAAAATAAAGTTTGTTGGGCTAGAGAGATAGTTCAGTGGTTAAGAGGACTGGCTGCTCTCCTAGAAGACCTGGGTTTGATTCTCAGCACCCTAATGGCAGGTCACAACCATCTAAAACTCCAGACCAGGGATCTGACACTGTCTTCTGGCCTCTGGGCACACAAGTGGTACACACAAATACATGTAGGCCAAATACCCATATGCATAAAACAAAATAAAAGGTATGGACACTTCACAAGAATAAAGTTGGGCTGGCAAGATGGCTCAGAGGGTAAAGATACTTGGTGTGAAAGCCTCATGACCTCAGTTCAACCCCTGGATCTCACTGTAACTGAACCCTGAAAATTGTTCTCTGACCTCTGTGCTTGTGATCCACTTACACAGAGAGAGAGAGAGAAATACAGAAAATGAAAAAAATACTAAAGCATTACTCCAATGTTATTTGATGCTCTCAAAGTTAGGACTACAAGTAATTTCATGTTATTATATACACAATTTATCAAAAAGTATGATTTACATAATAGTTTGGCTAGCCTTGTCAAACTATACAGGTGAGTAGCTGCCATAAAAAGACAATGATATTTAAAAACAACCAAGTTTATTTAGATTTGGGACTCTGGGTGGTTTTGTCTCTACTACCTGACTTCTTCCTGCCATGACTCCTGGACCTTGATGAGCTCTGGCTCCGGCTCCGGCTCCGACTCTGACTCCGACTTCGGCTCCCGCTTTGGCTTCGGGTCCGACTGCGGCTGCGGCTTGGGCATGGACTGTGATCCCTTCTTCTTCCTCTGGTCAGTGAACTGCGCCTCTCACGACTTTTCGTCACGTGTTTGTGAGACTTCTTCCCCCTGTGATTACTCCTGCTCTTCCTGTCAGACTCACCGTTTCTCTTGTAGGAGAGGTCTGGACTCAGGCTCCTTCGTCTTCTTGACCTGCCATAGTATATATCATCATAGTGGCTGGGGCCTTCCCCCCCCTCCCTCTCAAAATTCTTACCGAAGGACGAACTAGTCCAATCTGGAGACTGGTAGATGTCTCTGTTGGCTTCCCTAAATTCGTTGTTGGGATTTCTGAACACGTGAAGAAAGTTGCAATGTTTTCCTCTTGGACACTGCTGTACTTCAAATAATCCTGTGAGGGCAAGTGAAGAGGCAGTGATTATCAGCGTGCATTACTGTAATTCATTCTTTTTCAGAAGGTGAATTTCTGAAGTCAGGGTATGTCTGCACTGTTTCTTACAGTGTATGATGTAGATAAACTGAGGTGGTGCCTAAGATTGCAAGAACACTCGAATACTAAAAGGTACCATAAAAAAGGCTGCAAACTAGCTTTAATTAATCAGAACACCTGTGCCTTGTGTCAGCAGAGTGCAAGTGAACTGATTCAAGAACTGGATTTTGGAATCCCTATATTCACATTTTTCTGAAAGCATAGGTTGGTCAGGAGAAGGTCCAACATGGGAGGGGATTTTGCAATGTTCTATACATAATAAGAACATTAATACCCAGGTATGATGGCACACTTATGTCCACAGCCTGGGGTACATGAGGTCCTGTCTCTAAACACACACACACAAAAGAGAGAGAAAACAAGAAAGAAAGAAATCCTTTGTGGCTAAAGGTAAATAAAGTAAAATGATGAGATAGCATTTGCAGATGACCTCTGTGATCAGGTACTGGTATATAAAATCAAGAATTTCTATAGCTGAATAAAAACAAGATGTAACATGATTAAAAATGGGCAACTATCTAAATAGAGATCTCTCCAAAGAAGATACACCAGATGTCAATAATAAGGACACAAAAAAGTTATTAGTTCCTGAGAAAGATCCTAAAAGCTATTTATATTTTTTGTCATTGATGTTGTTGTTGTTGCTTTTAGTAACATTCCTTGTTTGGCGGTTTCAAAATTGTATTCAAACCTATCACTGAAATCACAGAGTGCATCTTGAGGAACTACCAAAACTATAAGCCTAAAGAGAATACCCTGTCATCTTGCTCATCTGCCCAACCCTTAAACTTAGGGCATAATGTTGGTTCTCATTTTCAAGGAATTCTAAAATTCTCTCTCTCTCTCTTTCTCTCTCTCCCTCCCTCCCTCTCTCTCTCTCTCTCTCTCTCTCTCTCT